AACGCTTCTCTGGCTCCAGAGAACAAGTTGTGAGAGCTGGCTGGAAATGTCAGTTGAGACAAAAGAGCAGCAAACAGCTTTGTTTTCCTATAGTTGTGGTTTTACTTGGTGATGATGACACATGAAGATGAAAATGTGCAGCATGAACTCCAGTTGTTATCTGAGTGAGCATCTCTGCCAACACTGAAGGATATGTGTGGGTGTTACCTGCAAGCAAAGAGAGAGAAAAAAAGAGGCCCTGTTTCGGAAAGAAGAGCCAGTTAATCAAAGATCAACAAGTGGTGCTGTTTATTTCATGAGCTTTATATTCGATTTCCTTCCCTCGTTAATCTCCAAGTCTCAATTTAGTCTCCGGACTAAATATGTAAGTGTCTGGTGATGGAGGAAGGGGTGGAAAAGGTGGACTCGAAGGGGCATCATGGCCGTTACTATAGTGAAGTCATTTCTTTCATGTCTCCTGGGCGCATACCTAACATTTGATACGTTAGCTTCCAAATAGTGTGTTAGCTCCGAACTCTTGAGAACCTGTGGCATATTATACAAGGGTAGACACACTTGAGCTTGCTGTTGGGGACACTTTTCCACTCCCAATCCCATGCAACTCTTGTTTCACTTGCTTAATGCTGCTTCTTCCTCTCTTCCTCTTCATTCACTCAGTAAGTCCTTCATGAGCACCTGCTCAGCTCCAAGAAGTAGGCGAGGTCCTGGGGACGTGACAGCGAGCAACACGGCATTATTATCTCCTCCTTTGCCAAGTGTAAAATGTAAACTTCGTCTAGCCCTTCTCCTTCTCCTTCTTCTCTTTAAACACCCTGCTCCTCCTCCGGATAACCACTTACTCTTAATTATGGGCTCACACCTTCATGCGACTGTTTGATAGCCTTTGGTTGGTCGGTTTGCCTGAAATTTATTTCTTTGAGATGTTCTTATTTAACCTTGCTAGCACAGTTAATGTCTTAGATCAGGGATTGACAAGCTTTTTCTGGAGAGGGACAGAGAGGAACTAGCTTAGGCTTTGCAAACACACAGTCTTGTGCAGCTACTGAACTCCTGCCACTGGAGTGTGAAAGCTGCCATAGACAATACGTAAACAAATGAGCACGTCTGCCTTCCTGTAAACTTTTATTTGTAGACATTGATATCTGGGTTTCATATAACTTTCATAGGTCACACAATATGAGTATTCTTATTATTCCCTGTTCCCCCCCGACCACAGCCATTTATCACGTAAAATCCATTCTGAGCTCATGGGCTGTTCAAAGGCAGCCTGTGGGCTGGATTTGGTCTGCAGGCTGCAGTTTGCTGACTTAGACCCAAGCCACCATTTTAGCTACAAGAGTGTCTTTGAATTCCATTGAATTCCACCATCTGCATTTTTAGGGCTGGAAGCCATCAGTTTGGATGTGTGTAAAGGCCTCTTGGGAGTGGTGAATGTTAAATATCTGTTTTGAAAGAAGGGCATGGATCATTCAAGAAGAAGGAAGAAGAAACTTCATTGGAGGGAAAGGCATTTTAGGTGGAAGGAACGGGAGATTATAGTAAAGAGGAGGAGAAGCTGTTTCAGAATGACGGAGTCCCTTGCACATTATTGCTAAAAGCCTACAAATCTTGGGAATTGTGGTTACTCTTCTCTCAAGTCATGTTTGCTTTTCTGCTCTTTTCTAAGCATCAAATCCTCTTCATCTCCAAGGAGACAAAGTAAATTTTGAGTCACAGCAGGCAGAGGGCAAAAAACATGGCCTCGTCTTATGTAATGGACAGGGCTACTCTCCCTGCGAACGCTTCCAGACATAGCACAGTCAAATCCAACATGGGCTGGGTGCAGCAGAGGTCAGAAATAGCTGTTTCTGAATTAGCCTCCTACTTTCTGCCCATCACCTGTGCTTTCAGTCTGCACTTGGCCGCCATTTTATGGGTGACCAAGGGTGATCTCCCTGGAATCCAGACTTTCACAGGTAGCTGGTGAAATCAGTTTTACTCAGATAAGGGCACTGACCCACCCCTTACCATTCCCTCATCCCCACTCCTGACTCCCGTCTACAGCTGCTGGTTACACCCAAGGTACAAATAATTCCTGGAAGCAGTCCAGCATATGTGGGCACCCCAAGCCACACACCCATTCACACCATCTGAGCAAGTTAAAAATAGGGTCAAATGTAGCATTTAGCTTGATCTGTCCAGCCAAGATCAGGAAATTGCCGCTGAAAGGTCAGATGATTGCGATCATCGTGCCAACAGTCTGGGATGTCAGTAATGAATAAAGATTCTGGCAGAATGAATTTATCCTGATTTTCTTTATGACATTCAAGTTCTGGGTCTGCATGAACGGCCTCAGGAATTCTAAGAAGAATTTTCTTCTCCATCATGCCGGGCACCGTGTACACTTACGTGTTGTATGCCGCGCACAAGGGCCCCGAGCCAAGGGGCTGGAGGGGTCCGAAATCCAGTAGGATCCCCTTAAGCTACTCACTTGCAAGAGCTATGTCCACTGGGAGAGGGCACCTTTCTCTAATGCCCACACATAGGGGCTACCAAGGTGCTGACAGAATGCTTGCTTCTCTGCCATTTGGTTACTGAGCTCTTTATAAAATAAATTAGATCCTCATTCTCAAAACAGGAATTATCTAGGATGAGCAAGAGTTAAAAATCAACCAAACAAGTGGAATGATTTTTAATACCATAGAAATTTCTCTCCTGGACCCCTTCTTTAGTCTTTTCTGCACAGTTTAATTCAGTTGGTTGATTTTTCCTGAAATACATCTTGGTGGGGTTGAGGAGAAGATTGTTTTTTAGGAGTAATGTGAGAAGGAATTTCCTGGCTCAGATTTCTGAAGAAAAAAATCTGTGACCTGGAGAACACTAGGTTTGGATTTAGTTCTCAGGATGTCCTTGGAACTTTTTAGTTAATGGCAGACTCTACTCTTATTTTATAGTTATCAGTACATGAGGGGTTTAGACTAAATAACCTCAAGTCTGATACTTATAATAGCTTTCATATTCCTTATTATAACTCTGCCAGGATAATCTTCCCCAAATAAATGCCATTGTTTTGAGTTTTTTCCCATCATCACATTCCTGTTTTATAGATATAAATATTTTATGTTCGATATTTGTCAATAAGGATTATTTGAATAAACCTACAATTTCCTATAACTCTTAAATTCAACAATTTATCACAAAAATTTCCATCACTTTCTCTTAAGAAAATAATGAATTTTATTCATAAGTTTAGGCTAGAAATCATGAAAAATTTTTGGGACTTGTGGGCTTTTTGTGTGAGTTTAATTTAAAAAGCACCTTCACATTATAACATAAGAAACTATTACATCATTTTTGGAGTTTGTCATTTTCCAAATAATAAAATTCTTTTTTTTTTTTCCTGAAAGTGTGAGCAGTGGGGAGGGGCAAAGGGAGAGGGAGAGAGAGAATCTTAAGCAGGCTCCATGCTCAGTATGGAGCCTTGTTGCAGGGCTTTGTCTCACGACCCTGAGACCATGACCTGAGTCAAAATCAGGAGTCAGAGGCTTAACAGAGAGAGCCACCCAGGCATCCCTGAAATAATAAATTTCTTGATGATATAAAATTTATATTATTTAGTCTCCCATGGTGAACTCTATCTTGAATATGAGGTGCTCAGGTGCTCCTAACTGAATGCATAAATGGATGGATAAATGAACATCTTTCATTTCATAAATATCTGCAACCTGTTTTGGTCTTTTTTTGTTTTTGTTTTTGTTTTGGTCTTTGACAGATTAGATGAACTAGCTACTGTGAAAAGACTTGGAAAGATTGGAGACTACTGATAAAGATTTTGCATTTCTTAAATTGGTGAAATGTATTCCATTAGTATATACATTTTCAGACATTGTTCAGACATTCAGAAGCAATACCCATTTCCCCTTCCTTGGCAACAAACAGAACTCTAATTGTGTTCAGAAGCACCCTCCAAGTGCTTGTGGGGAGTTCCAGGGAGTGGATAATGATTGGTTTAAGCTGTAATAGTGGTCCTATCTTCTCATTAGTGACTGTTATAAGCAGGGACACGTGACAACATTTTGACCAATAACCATGGTAGTATGTTCTAAGGGACCTCCGTGAAAGTTTTTCCTTGCTCTTAAAAAGAGGTCTGTGGAAATAGAAAGTCTCTTTTCTGCTACAGAGTGTTGTGTCTGTACGCGGCATCTGGAACAGTCATTTTAGGACTGTGAGAGGAGTTAGCCTGAGAAGAACATGATGAGGTAGACAGAGCAGGAAGAGGGATGGAACCCGGGTTCTGATGACATTGTTAAGCTGCAGATGGAACCAACACCGAAGCTCTTCTTTCTTCAACTTCTTGTCATGTGAGACAATAAATAGCTGTATTATTTAAGGTATTTGAGTTGGATTTTCTGTTGTGTGAAGCTTAAAACATTTAACAAGTAACTCCATCTTCATGCTTACTGATGTTCATAAATACTCATAGATTATATTACTTGGGGATACCCAGAACTTGACTCAATTTATCTTGTTGACCTGCTCAATAATTAGTCTCTGATAACTCTGAATAACTAAATGTTACTACCACACTCAGGACAGTAGTTATATCTGCTGACATGTGAAACTTGGGAAGCTTGCTTCCGTGAACACACTGCCTATTGGGGTGTTATAGATTATAGAATAGCAGAAGATACAAGACCCCCACAAGAGATCAGTAAGACTTACTCCTTCTCTTCCTTCTATTATATGAACTGATGAGAAGGAGCCCCTCTTGGAAGGAGTCTGGGAAATTTATAGTTATTTTTGAATTAAATATATATGTGAAGAACAGGAACATTGGCTTACTTCCTTGCAGTATAGGATACTACACAGCAGTATAGGATACTGCACACCAGTCTTTCAAGATTCTTCTAGCTGAGTGGTCTTGTTCTATTCCTGTACTTCTTAATGCTCCTTAAGTTCCAGGGACCAGTAGGAGAGGGAGGTCATAGTAGGTGTAAAACAATAAATATTTAAAAAATATATTAAATTAAAAAATCAAAATACACTTTATTAAAAACATAAATGAAAAAAATTACATTATTAATTTAGACCAGTGGCTTGAAATTAGGGGGAAAAAAACCCCTCTTCCTTTTAATGAAATCTTATCAGAAGGTCAAAGTAGATTTACTCGGCTTGACCCTGATTGTTTCAGTCTCTTTCAGCTTTTGGCGGTGGCTACTCAGGTAAGACTGATCTTCCTTGGGATGACACATTAACTTCTAGAGTGGCTTTGGGATCTCCTGGAGTAAGTCTTGTGTCCTGTGAAAAGAATGCAAACTGAAGACACATGTGTTCATTATAGTGATAGACACTGAGACGGACAGAGAGGCTTAACACATTGTCCTGACCTCAGAAATTTACTACCTGGTTGGGGAAATAACTGGTCATAAACAGTAAATACTAAGCTCCAATTAAGTGATATAGAATGCAAATTCAGAAGTGAAAGATGATTGTGACTGGAGCTTCAGATCTGGCTCTGGACTGGAATGAATATTATTTTATATGCATCTTTTCAAACTCGTGTGAAGTAGAATTTCTTTGAGGAAGAGTATTTGCATTTTTAATTTTTATTGTCAATTTGCTTTGCAGAGAGGTCATACTGATGTTCGAGAGAGGCTATCATCCTACTTATTCTCAGTAATACAGTGTTATCAACACTTTTGATCTTTGCCAATTTGATAGTTTAAAAATGATACCTCATCACTGAATTAATTTGCATTTTCTTTTTTATGAATCAGATTCATTATCTTTTCATATGGTTAAGAGTAATTTATATCTCATTTTCTGTGAACTGTCAACTCATATTTTTTGTTCATTTCTTTCAGCTATACTATTGTCTTTTAATGTAAGACCCCTTTAAGGAAACTAGCCCTTTGCTTGTAACTCCTTCATTTTAGTGATGAAAGATGTAAGCTGTTGTTTCATTGTTCATTCATCAATATCTAGGAAACACTCATTCGGTGCCTGCACTGAACTTGGCACAGGAGTTAGATATAGCCCCTGCCTTCAGGAAGCTTCCAGGCTATGGGAGATACAATACCTTTCCCATGTCTTATTGATCTAGTATAAACAAGGTATAGGGAGATATTGGAGCTCAAGGGTGCAGCACCATTTAACCCATGGGAAGAGTTGGGGAGACTCAGGAAAGTATTTGTGGAGCACATGACACAGCTGAATCATAGAGGACAAGGGAGACTTAGTCAGAACACAGAGAGGAGATTTACATTCAGGTAGAGAGACCAACTTGTACAAAAACACAAGCATAGTGCCTTTGAGGAGTTCAGCATATGAATTCAGAGTGGCTGGAGAGCAGGTTAAAAGTGAGAGAGTGTAAGAGCTGAGAGTAGCAGCAGAGCTGACATCATATCATGACAAACTCATGCCAAGAAATTTGGAGTTTATCTCAAGGGCACTGGAAAGCTAATAAAAAAAAATATATATCTATATATCTTCACTTTAAATTATTATAATTTATAATGAATAACTTTACATTATGGAAAGCCACAAAATGAAAACTAAAAGTCTTCCACTTCCTTGTCCCCTCCCCTACAGTTCTAGTCTTCAGTTTTTACAGTTTATATTTATTTTCATAATAAATATATTTATGTTCATATTTCTTGATTTATCAAGCTTAACAGTACTTATGGACTCTCCACAGTGAAAGATGAAGAATTTAGCTCATTTCCACTAACTCCCACACTCCCAATTTTTCCGAGAATTTTAAGCATGTGAGGGACCTAATTAGATTAGAATTTTAGAAAGATAATTTTGCTAACATGTGAAGGGTGCTCTGGTAGCTGTTGTAGTAATTGGGGCAAAAAGGTGGGATGGGGGTGGGGTTAGCGGAAGGTACTTGGAAAGGTTAGGATGGCAGCTGACTAGGAGTTATTAGAGGGAGGGAGAGGGTGGGTGCTCTTTGGGTGCTAACAGGTGCTACACCAGGTGGTACTTACACTCTGAGATAGGGATGCAGGAGGAGACAGCGATTTTAGCAGGGAAGGAAGATGATGAATTTCACTTTGGATATGTTGAGTTTGACATGTTTTTGGGAATCCAGGTAGAGATGCCTTCTGAGGCAGCTGGACACAGAATTGTAGCACTCAGGAGTCAGACCTGGGCTGGCAGAGATAGATTTTTGAGTCAGGCATCAATCTATAGTTTATTCATTTTCTCACTTACTCTTGCAACATATATTTATTGTCTTCTATGAGCTACATGCTGGGTATAAAATGGTGACAGCAGATAAGTTTCTTTACCTCATGGAGCTTTCAGAGAGGTGGGAGATAGACAGTAACACATAAACTTACAAAAATATGCATAATGACAGATTGAGGTAGGTGCTATCGAAGAAAAGAATACAATTTATGAGATAGAATAACAGGATAAAACAAATTTAAACGGGGGGGAGAAGGGGGAGAAATATGTGGGTATTTCTTCTCTACACCTTCTCTACACCTGGACCTGCAGGGTGCAGAGCATTAAGGAGGTCTTAAACAGAGGGCCTTTAAAATTAGAAGTCATGGGCAGACCAAGCCCTAATCTTCATGGAGCTCGGGATAAAATACCAGCTGATGGAAGCCCCATGAAATACCTAAACATCATAAATCAAGACAACAAAGTGTTAATAAATATGTTCTATTCCCCTACTGGGACAAATATACCTTCATGATGATAAAATAGAAAAATATGTGTAAAGACCAAGAGTTAGCATTTGTCAATGACAACTGAATTTGTCACACATGGCTGGGTCTTCTGTTAATGGGTTGAGATGTCTGGATGAGCAATAAAATTAAGACACATATCATGTTCTGTTTCGTGAGCTGGGTGCTGGTTATTATTTGCTCTGAAACTTCATTGAGCTGTACACATATGATTTGTGCACTTTTCTGTATTGTTATACCTTAGCAAAGAGTTTTATAAATTTATCGTATACTAATGTCATAAAATTTATTCTTCTTGTTTTTATTTCAGCACAAATCATAAGTGTTATAATCAAGATTTTAAACACAATTTGTGTATCGTTGACTGTAATGTTCAATGAGACAACTTATCTATAGTCATTGTAATTCATTGTAATTCTTTGTCTAAATTGAGACTGTGCCTTGATCTCAAACGATCAGAAAATAGTCTGTAGAGAAATTGGTTTCAGGATAACTTATGGGTGGATCTTCTTCATATCCATTTCTTTATATTTTATTAAAATGTCACTTTTGTTGTGTTTTTCACATGTAGTTATTTCTCATTTAGGAAAATAATTTACTCTAAATAGAAATACTTTAAATTCTTTTAAAAAGAAAACATCTACACTTAGATCTATTTCTTTTTATAATATATAACAAGTAATAGTCCATACCAAATAACTGTAGCCAGAACAAGTACGGAAGTAATTTCATTTTTCTAATAAGACCACAATTTGTTTTTTATTCGAGGATCTTCTGTTATTTCACTTCATTCTTCTAATGGATTCTAAGGTCTAAGGTAAGTCTAATTGCTTTAACAGTATCTAGTTGGCATTCCCATCATGTGCTCAAAAGCAGTTGTAAAGTCAAATTTACTGTTTCATGAAGGTTTCTGTGTTTTGGCAAATCCATAAAATATTTGTATAGTCTTTCAATTTTTTCAAAGAAAGTTATCACCCACAGCATATTTGAAGTCATATCTCATATAGTGCCAAATACAAACAATGAGTCATATATGACTTCTGTATTTTGGGCCAAAATTCTGGCTTGCATACATTTTTCTTTCCAACCATGTTGATCTCATTCTTTTAGGCTTTCGACAATTAAAAAATTATTAAAATAAAATTATTTTATTTATTTCTTTTGAAGATTTAAATAAATGGTTTGATGTTTTTGTAAATATTGTATACTTTGCAATTCTACCATGTAATGTCCATTTAGTTGTCCATGTCAATGTGGTGGGTGCTAAGATGTGCCATCCAGATTCTCTGCAGGACCAACCCTTCACTTCTGAGCTACTGGAGTGCTTGCTTCTGATGGTGCCCTCTCTAGGAATTGCTCTCTGCTGAAGGCAATTGCTTTACCCAAAGTTATACCTTCTCCCCTAGAACAGCCTTTGTTAGTGGGGTCAATTTGAAGGTTCCACCATTGGAAGAGTTCAGAAGGGCCAACCATCTCTGCTCCAGAACTTTTAATAATATTGACTGAAGCTTCTGTTTTAACTACAACTACATCACAGTTCAGTTTCTCCCTGTTCAATCCTGATTCCTTCATTGCTCTTCCCTACTGAGTATTTTTTTTTCCCCTGTAAAAACTCTAATAATTTCAGAGTCTCAGAATTTGGTCCCAGGAAACCTAACCTGTGATCAAGAAGAGTCAACCTAAATCTTCATGCATGTTATCTAGGCTTACAGATATACAAATTTTGGAGTCTTTTAAATTGTTTAATATTGCAAAACATTCCAAAATATTATGTGAACTTACTACAAATATGTGCTAATTTGTGAACACCTCTGGAACCACAAATTGGAAGTGAAGGAGAAGCAAGAAAAAGGATGTTTAGTAGTAGTGGGAAGTGATATTTTGTAAAAGGGTCTATTGAATTTATACTGAGAGGAAAAATTTAAAGGATTATCTTTTCTTTTCTTTTGATGAAAAGCTTCTGGCATTCAATCCTCCTCAAAACTTGGAAGCAGTGTCTGCATCTAAAATGGGCAGAGGTGCAACCTACAACCTTTCATGGCATTTGTCCAGCATTTTGTGGTCATAGGACAAGAGATGTGGAAAAGCATTTCCTGTAGCCTTATATACAGGATCCTCAGGACAGAAGACTTTTTCCTGTGGTGTTTTCAGAGTGAGAAGGAAACCCCTAGGACCCTGGAGAATGCCAACAGCTAAGAAAAGGACCAAGGGAGGAAAACCTGCAGAGACCTAAAGGAGCTTCTGGAGAGGAAGAGAGTAGAACTGTTAGGTTGAACCATGTGAAATTGTTGATATTTGACTTTTAAAAAATTAATATACTATTTTTTGAAAGAGTAGTTTTAGGCTCACTGCAAAATGAGGTGAAAAAGTAGAGAGAGATTCCATATACATATATATAGGGAGAGTTCCAAACCCCAAAAAGCCTCCCTCACAGTCAAATCTCCCACCAGACTGGCACATTTATTACAATCAATGAATCACCATTGATGCATCATTGTCAATCAAATCCATAGTTCACATGAGGATTCACTCTTGGTGTTGTACATTCCATGGGTTTTGACAAATATATAGTGATGTGTATTCATCATTATAATATACAGAATAGTTTCACTGTGCTAAAATAATTCCCTGCATTCTACTATCATCCTTTTCTTGGCTATTTGACTATTTTTTGAGCTAAAAATACAGTTACTTCATACATTTCAGTGTAAAGAAGAGAAAGGATTACGTTTACTCTAAAGGAGAAGAAAGTTCTAAGTCTGACAGTGTGGTCGGCAGTGTTCATTAGGTAAGATGAGGGATGGGATCAGCTCTTTGGATTTAGCAGCTGGGGCCTTGGTAAGATTACTTATAGTGAAACAGTGGGGCTGGAAGTAAAATCCTAGCAAGAAAAATTGTGATCAGACAGGGAAAAATGGGAAATCAAGAGAGTGGAACTTCTGGCAAGAAATTTCCTTCTGAAGAGCAGCATTTTGACACCTGAGCTCCTTTATTGGTCTGGGAGCTCCTTGATGGTATCTCCAAAGTTCAGCACACTATGTACTAACTGGTTCATGGCAGACCCTCAAATGTTTGTTGATTGGTGAACAAGAGGAAAATAACTAGATAAAGGAAAGTTTGGTTGTTGTTGTTCTTGTAAGAAGGCAAAGATTTAAGCTGTTTAAGACAACAGGGCAACTAGTAGAAAGGGTGAAATGGAAGCTGAAGGAATAAGAGAACGTCATAGATGGTGAAAGATCCTTAAGCAATGAGGTGGGATGGTAGTGCTGGGGAAAGGGATCTAGGGCTGGGTAGAGCAGTGAATCTTGGCCTGGAGAGTGATTCTGGTCACCTTTCACACATACGGATGTGTACAGAGTGCCCTGAGCATTCATTATTTTTAGAGTATGGGGAAGGTCATTTCAACCATCCAATCCTGACCTTTTTGCTGCACTATGTGCTGAATAGAAAGGAATGCACTAAACAGGATTTGTTTTCTGCAAAGCAAGCTCTTCGATTCTTCTCTTGGTGCAAAATGCACAGGATGACTTCATATCAGAGGGGCAAAGACAAATCATCAGAGCTTGCACTGTATTCCTTTTATGTGTGGATAGAGCTATTTCCTACATAGGATCAACTGGTCTTTTGAGGGTTGTTGCCTACACTTACAAATAGTACCAAGAGGTGTGAATGCTCTTTCCTCACTCTGTACCCCTGTTTTCATTCTGTTATCTACTGGTATGTAACAAACCATCCCAAACTTAATGGCACACAACAACAATAATATATTATTATTATTTCTTATAGTTTGAGGGTTGACTGGGATCAACTTGGTGATCCTCATTTGGGCCTCTGGAGCTTCTTGAAAGCTTGAAATCTTCCAGACTTTCCAAAGTTTCCCAAAGCTTTCCATCTTGAGGGTTTCCTCATATAGTCTGGCAGCTGATGATGGTGTCTGGCTAGGATTTCGGGGGAAGCTATTAGCTGGAGGCTGTTGGCCTACATGGACCCTCTCCATATGATCTAGGATTCCTAATAGTATGGCAGCTGGAGGCCAAGGGCAAGGATCCCTTGAGAGATTGAGCAGAAGCAATTTGCCTTAGAGGTTAGAAGTGAGTCACTGGGACCAACCCATTTTCAAAGGAAAGAGAATTAAATTCTATCTCAAGGTGGGAGGAGGGGCAGTGAAACAGAGAGTGGCAAAGGCGAAAGGGTATAACATTTGGAATCAGGAGACTTGACTTGGTGGATAGTTTGCTATGTAAGATCACTTAACACTCTATTCTCTTAAGCTTGCTGATGAAAATATCAAAACACAATATCAGTGTTTGCTGGGAATCCTGCATCTGCATTCAGTATCTCTGTAGCCTGTATTACCTCTATATTCCTTCCAAATGCCATGTATATATGTGTAGCTTTCCATATACTGGCATTCAAGAAGTTAATATTTGAATCTTCAATAGTATGTATG